AGTAACTAGTAAATGTATGATGTAGGGAGTAACTAGTAAACGTATGATGTAGGGAGTAACTGGTAAACATATGATGTAGGGAGTAACTGGTAAATGTATGATGTAGGGAGTAACTGGTAAATGTATGATGTAGGGAGTAACTAGTAAATGTATGATGTAGGGAGTAACTAGTAAATGTATGATGTAGGGAGTAACTAGTAAATGTATGATGTAGGGAGTAACTAGTAAATGTATGATGTAGGGAGTAAATGTATGATGTAGGGAGTAAGTAGTAAATGTATGATGTAGGGAGTAAATGTATGATGTAGGGAGTAACTAGTAAATGTATGATGTAGGCAGTAAATGTATGATGTAGGGAGTGACTAGTAAATGTATGATGTAGGGAGTGACTAGTAAATGTTTGATGTAGGGAGTAACTAGTAAATGTATGATGTAGGGAGTAACTAGTAAATGTATGATGTAGGGAGTGACTAGTAAATGTATGATGTAGTGACTAGTAAATGTATGATGTAGGGAGTAACTAGTAAATGTATGATGTAGGGAGTGACTAGTAAATGTATGATGTAGGGAGTGACTAGTAGTATGATGTAGGGAGTGACTATTAAATGTATGATGTAGGGAGTAACTAGTAAATGTATGATGTAGGGAGTGACTAGTAAATGTATGATGTAGGGAGTGACTAGTAAATGTATGATGTAGGGAGTGACTAGTAAATGTATGATGTAGGGAGTGACTAGTAAATGTATGATGTAGGGAGTGACTAGTAAATGTATGATGTAGGGAGTGACTAGTAAATGTATGATGTAGGGAGTGACTAGTAAATGTATGATGTAGGGAGTAACTAGTAAATGTATGATGTAGGGAGTAACTAGTAAATGTATGATGTAGGGAGTAACTAGTAAATGTATGATGTAGGGAGTAACTAGTAAATGTATGATGTAGGGAGTGACTAGTAAATGTATGATGTAGGGAGTAACTAGTAAATGTATGATGTAGGGAGTGACTAGTAAATGTATGATGTAGGGAGTGACTAGTAAATGTATGATGTAGGGAGTAACTAGTAAATGTATGATGTAGGGAGTAAATGTATGATGTAGGGAGTGACTAGTAAATGTATGATGTAGGGAGTAACTAGTAAATGTATGATGTAGGGAGTAAATGTATGATGTAGGGAGTGACTAGTAAATGTATGATGTAGGGAGTAACTAGTAAATGTATGATGTAGGGAGTAACTAGTAAGTGTTTGATGTAGGGAGTAACTAGTAAACGTTTGATGTAGGGAGTAACTGGTAAATGTATGATTTAGGGAGTAACTAGTAAATGTATGATGTAGGGAGTAACTGGTGAATGTATGATGTAGGGGGTAACTGGTAAATGTATGATGTAGGGAGTAAATATATGATGTAGGGAGTAACTAGTAAATGTACGATGTAGGGAGTAAATATATGATGTAGGGAGTAACTAGTAAATGTATGATGTAGGGAGTAACTAGTAAATATATGATGTAGGGAGTAACTAGTAAATGTATGATGTAGGGAGTAGCTAGTAAATATATGATGTAGGGAGTAACTAGTAAATGTATGATGTAGGGAGTAAATGTATGATGTAGGGAGTAACTAGTAAATGTATGATGTAGGGAGTAACTAGTAAATGTATGATGTAGGGAGTAACTAGTAAATGTATGATGTAGGGAGTAACTGGTAAATGTATGATGTAGGGAGTAAATGTATGATGTAGGGAGTAACTAGTAAATTTATGATGTAGGGAGTAACTGGTAAATGTATGATGTAGGGAGTAAATGTATGATGTAGGGAGTAACTAGTAAATGTATGATGTAGGGAGTAAATGTATGATGTAGGGAGTAACTAGTAAATGTATGATGTAGGGAGTAAATGTATGATGTAGGGAGTAACTAGTAAATGTATGATGTAGGGAGTAACTAGTAAATGTATGATGTAGGGAGTAACTAGTAAATGTATGATGTATTGAGTAACTAGTAAATGTATGATGTAGGGAGTAACTAGTAAATGTATGATGTAGGGAGTAACTAGTAAATGTATGATGTAGGAAGTAACTAGTAAATGTATGATGTAGGGAGTAACTAGTAAATGTATGATGTAGGGAGTAACTAGTAAATGTATGATGTAGGGAGTAACTAGTAAATGTATGATGTAGGGAGTAACTAGTAAATGTGTGATGTAGGGAGTAACTAGTAAATGTATGATGTAGGGAGTAACTAGTAAATGTATGATGTAGGGAGTAACTAGTAAATGTATGATGTAGGGAGTAACTAGTAAATGTATGATGTAGGGAGTAACTAGTAAATGTATGATGTAGTGAGTAACTAGTAAATGTGTGATGTAGGGAGTAACTAGTAAATGTATGATGTAGGGAGTAACTAGTAAATGTATGATGTATTGAGTAACTAGTAAATGTATGATGTAGGGAGTAACTAGTAAATGTATGATGTAGGGAGTAACTAGTAAATGTATGATGTAGGGAGTAACTGGTAAACATATGATGTAGGGAGTAACTGGTAAATGTATGATGTAGGGAGTAACTGGTAAATGTATGATGTAGGGAGTAACTAGTAAACGTATGATGTAGGGAGTAACTAGTAAATGTATGATGTAGGGAGTAACTAGTAAATGTATGATGTAGGGAGTAACTAGTAAATGTATGATGTAGGGAGTAACTAGTAAATGTATGATGTAGGGAGTAACTAGTAAATGTATGTTGTAGGGAGTAACTAGTAAATGTGTGATGTAGGGAGTAACTAGTAAATGTATGATGTAGGGAGTAACTAGTAAATGTATGATGTAGGGAGTAACTAGTAAATGTATGATGTAGGGAGTACCTAGTAAATGTATGATGTAGGGAGTAACTAGTAAATCTATGATGTAGGGAGTAACTAGTAAATGTATGATGTAGGTAGTAAATGTATGATGTAGGGAGTAACTAGTAAATGTATGATGTAGGGAGTAACTAGTAAATGTATGATGTAGGGAGTAACTGGTAAATGTATGATGTAGCGAGTAACTAGTAAATGTATGATAAAGGGAGTAACTGGTAAATGTATGATGTAGGGAGCAACTAGTAAATGTTTGATGTAGGGAGTAACTAGTAAATGTATGATGTAGGGAGCAACTAGTAAATGTATGATGTAGGGAGTGACTAGTAAATGTATGATGTAGGGAGTAACTAGTAAATGTATGATGTAGGGAGCAACTAGTAAATGTATGATGTAGGGAGTAACTAGTAAATGTATGATGTAGGGAGTAACAAGTAAATTTATGATGTAGGGAGCAACTAGTAAATGTATGATGTAGGGAGTAACTAGTAAATGTATGATGTAGGGAGTAACTAGTAAATGTATGATGTAGGGAGTAACTAGTAAATGTATGATGTAGGGAGTAATTAGTAGATGTAAGATGTAGGGAGTGACTAGTAAATGTATGATGCTGTGTTATTACATGCAGTCAGATTTCATAAAAATGACAGTTTCCTAAGAGAGAAAAAGAGAGACAGAGAAATGATATAATTTAAAGTAAAAGAATAGAAACAAAAGTCAGCAGTTGTAGGTATAAAGTGATACATTTGCAGGTCTCATTCTGTTTCGATGACCGAACCAACTTATTGTCTGTCTATCTTTAAAATCAGTTCTTAATGTTGCTACCGTAATATCTCTGGTCCTAATTGCTTAGTCTGTCTCCACTAGTTACAATGTTAGTTCTTCTCACGCTAAAGCAACAGACTATTGTATTTAGATTGTGAACTTGATGCAACAGACTCTGCAGCCATAAGTACAAGACGTTCAAGATAGGGGGCATGTAGGCAGGAGACTCTGCAGCCATAAGTACAAGACGTTCAAGATAGGGGGCATGTAGGCAGGAGACTCTGCAGCCATAAGTACAAGACGTTCAAGATAGGGGGCATGTAGACAGGAGGCTCTGCAGCCATAAGTACAAGACGTTCAAGATAGGGGGCATGTAGACAGGACACTCTGCAGCCATAAGTACAAGACGTTCAAGATAGGGGGCATGTAGGCAGGAGACTCTGCAGCTATAAGTACAAGATGTTCAAGATAGGGGGCATGTAGACAGGAGACTCTGCAGCCATAAGTACAAGACGTTCAAGATAGGGGGCATGTAGGCAGGAGACTCTGCAGCCATAAGTACAAGACGTTCAAGATAGGGGGCATGTAGGCAGGAGACTCTGCAGCCATAAGTACAAGACGTTCAAGATAGGGGGCATGTAGACAGGAGGCTCTGCAGCCATAAGTACAAGACGTTCAAGATAGGGGGCATGTAGACAGGACACTCTGCAGCCATAAGTACAAGACTTTCAAGATAGGGGGCATGTAGGCAGGAGACTCTGCAGCTATAAGTACAAGATGTTCAAGATAGGGGGCATGTAGACAGGAGACTCTGCAGCCATAAGTACAAGACGTTCAAGATAGGGGGCATGTAGGCAGGAGACTCTGCAGCCATAAGTACAAGACGTTCAAGATAGGGGGCATGTAGGCAGGAGACTCTGCAGCCATAAGTACAAGACGTTCAAGATAGGGGGCATGTAGACAGGAGACTCTGCAGCCATAAGTACAAGACGTTCAAGATAGGGGGCATGTAGGCAGGCACCCCATAATACTGAAGGTTTGCTACAGATGTGCTTTGAGTAGGCAGATCCCACCTCTGGATTGTTGGCATTCCAGTGGAAACCAAGTGGTATGGAACAGCAAGGAAGATGTGTCACACCACTGCCTTCATTCTAACGTGAGAACCACTGGCAAGGAGAGCGGAACGAAGTAGAACAAAGCTTCACGCCTGTCACTGTGTGCCAGTTTTCTGTTGTGACCAGGTCTGATAGTGGTAATAAAGAGTTGTTGTGGACATGCAGTTATTCAGTAACAGTGTGCACTGCCCCTGTTAAACATATTATATCAATCTCAAATGTTCACTGTGGGATTGTCCCCTCTTATAATTTCTATAATACAATGACAGGATGTTCACCATGGTAACGGAACACAGAAAATGCTCTACGATGACCCCAACATCCTCTACATATCAATCCATCGCCATGACAGCGGCAATTTCTTCCCAGGCACAGGGGGCCCAGAGGAATGTGGCGAGGGGGCAGGGCTGGGCTTCAACGTGAACATTGCTTTTGGGGGCAGTTTGAACCCTGCCATGGGTGATGCTGAATATTTGGCTGCCTTCAGGTAGGAGGTGATTTTATTTGATTTATGAAGCTTTCCCTGTCATCATTATCGTTGCCGTCTTTTAGTGCCAGGCTTACTAAATAGTATCATGTTTCAGATTGTTATATGTTTCTCTTTTCTCATGATGTTACTGGAGATTATGACTACCTCTTTCTGATGTTCGTGATAATCTGTCTCTGAGTCTGTGCCTCTTTCAAAACATCTGCAGTACTCATTTTTGAAAATATTCACATCATTTTTAGCATTCTTCTATAGAACTACATTTCTGCAGCTTCAAGGAATTGTGTGGCTTGTTGACCTCTTGTCCATGATTCTCAGCCATACTTTATGATTTGTTTTTCTAATGTGTTAGAGTCAACCTCCAGTGATTGGGATTTATTGCATTTATGATCAGCCCATCAGAGTCCAGAAAAAGGGCTGTATCTGTGTACTGAAAAACAGCTTGTATCTATGTCCTGAAAAACAGCTTGTATCTGTGTCCTAAAAAACGGCTTGTATCTGTGTCCTGAAAAACAGCTTGTATCTGTGTCCTGAAAAACAGCTTGTATCTGTGTCCTGAAAAACGGCTTGTATCTGTGTCCTGAAAAACGGCTTGTATCTGTGTCCTGAAAAACGGCTTGTATCTATGTCCTGAAAAACGGCTTGTATCTATGTCCTGAAGAACGGCTTGTATCTGTGTCCTGAAAACAGCTTGTATCTGTGTCCTGAAAAACGGCTTGTATCTGTGTCCTGAAAAACGGCTTGTATCTGTGTCCTGAAAAACGGCTTGTATCTATGTCCTGAAAAACGGCTTGTAACTATGTCCTGAAAAACGGCTTGTATCAATGTCCTGAAAAACAGCTTGTATCTGTGTCCTGAAAAACGGCTTGTATCTGTGTCCTGAAATGGGCTTGCATCTGAGTGAAATTGATGTAGAGACTTCCCTCCTGACCAGCAGTCATATCTACAGCATCATCTCTACAGAGACTGTGAGGCAGAGCTCTTTTGCCCCTCCAAGCTCAGAAACTGCTGGGATATGCATTGCTGGTCCTGAAACACATCTGGCCAAGGTTGTAATGTGTTTCCTCCCCATTTGAAATGTCTCAGTACCCAGAGGTACCAACCAAGCTAAACATTTGATGGATGAGATATGCTGCGCTTGATTTGTTGTATGGAAGAAGTTGTATATGTCACTGATACCTCACCTCATGAGTGCCAGCCATGAGCAGGTGAGCACTTAACATGTCACACCTGGACGGCTGTGTCTGCCTGTTGGTCACCTTGTCATACTGTGTTTTCTCTGTATTCTCAGGACCTTACTGATGCCCATAGCTCGTGAATTCAGCCCCGAGTGTGTCCTGGTCTCTGCTGGCTATGATGCAGCTATGGGACATGCTGCTGCTCTTGGGGGATACCAGGTGTCATCTGAGTGTAAGTCACACCACACCAGTCTGTTTCCTGGGTTCTTATACATTGTTATCACCTCCTTCCCCCCATCCCATCCCATACCAGTCTGTTTCCTGGGTTCTTATACATTGTTATCACCTCCTTCCCCCCATCCCCCCCCCATCCCATCCCACACCAGTCTGTTTACTGGGTTCTTATACATTGTTATCACCTTCTTCCCCCCATCCCATCCCACACCAGTCTGTTTACTGGGTTCTTATACATTGTTATCACCTTCTTCCCCCCATCCCATCCCACACCAGTCTGTTTCCTGGGTTCTTATACATTGTTATCACCTTCTTCCCCCCATCCCATCCCATACCAGTCTGTTTCCTGGGTTCTTATACATTGTTATCACCTCCTTCCCCCCATCCCATCCCACACCAGTCTGTTTCCTGGGTTCTTATACATTGTTATCACTTCCCCACCCCATCCCATCCCACACCAGTCTGTTTCCTGGGTTCTTATACATTGTTATCACCTCCTTCCCCCCATCCCATCCCACACCAGTCTGTTTCCTGGGTTCTTATACATTGTTATCACTTCCCCACCCCTTCCCATCCCACACCAGTCTGTTTCCTGGGTTCTTATACATTGTTATCACTTCCCCACCCCATCCCATCCCACACCAGTCTGTTTCCTGGGTTCTTATACATTGTTATCACTTCCCCATCCATCCCATCCCACACCAGTCTGTTTCCTGGGTTCTTATACATTGTTATCACTTCCCCACCCCATCCCACACCAGTCTGTTTCCTGGGTTCTTATACATTGTTATCACCTCCCCCCCCCCTTCCCCACCCCATCCCATCCCACACCAGTCTGTTTCCTGGGTTCTTATACATTGTTATCACCTCCTTCCCCCCATCCCACACCAGTCCGTTTCCTGGGTTCTTATACATTGTTATCACTTCCCCACCCCATCCCATCCCACACCAGTCTGTTTCCTGGGTTCTTATACATTGTTATCACTTCCCCACCCCATCCCATCCCACACCAGTCTGTTTCCTGGGTTCTTATACATTGTTATCACCTCCTTCCCCACCCCATCCCATCCCACACCAGTCTGTTTCCTGGGTTCTTATACATTGTTATCACCTCCTTCCCCACCCCATCCCATCCCACACCCAGTCTGTTTCCTGGGTTCTTATACATTGTTATCACCTCCTTCCCCACCCCATCCCATCCCACACCAGTCTGTTTCCTGGGTTCTTATACATTGTTATCACTTCCCCATCCCATCCCACACCAGTCTGTTTCCTGGGTTCTTATACATTGTTATCACCTCCTTCCCCACCCCATCCCATCCCACACCAGTCTGTTTCCTGGGTTCTTATACATTGTTATCACCTCCTTCCCCACCCGATCCCATCCCACACCAGTCTGTTTCCTGGGTTCTTATAAATTGTTATCACCTCCTTCCCCACCCCATCCCATCCCACACCAGTCTGTTTCCTGGGTTCTTATACATTGTTATCACCTCCCCCCCCCCCTTCCCCACCCCATCCCATCCCACACCAGTCTGTTTCCTGGGTTCTTATACATTGTTATCACTTCCCCACCCCATCCCATCCCACACCAGTCTGTTTCCTGGGTTCTTATACATTGTTATCACCTCCTTCCCCACCCCATCCCATCCCACACCAGTCTGTTTCCTGGGTTCTTATACATTGTTATCACCTCCTTCCCCACCCCATCCCATCCCACACCAGTCTGTTTCCTGGGTTCTTATAAATTGTTATCACCCTCCTTCCCCACCCCATCCCATCCCACACCAGTCTGTTTCCTGGGTTCTTATACATTGTTATCACCCTCCCCCCCCCCCTTTCCCCACCCCATCCCATCCCACACCAGTCTGTTTCCTGGGTTCTTATACATTTTTATCACCCCCCCCCCCTTCCCCATCCCATCCCATCCCACACCAGCCTGGTTCCTGTGTTGTTTGTTCTCCCATGTTTCCTGATTTGCTGTATGTTAAATATCTTCCCCACTCCCTATCAACCTGTTTCCTGTGTTGTTGTATGTCTCCACTGTCCAAACCAATGTTGTATTCATGTTTTAGTTGACCATGTTTTTTTTTTAAAGACGTTATATGTCAAGGACTGAATGTTAGGGTGCTTCTTTTAACAGTGGATATTACACATAAACATCTATTGTGTTTGGAGACTGCTGCTTACAAGGACATTGATGCACCCTAAACTGTATATAATGAATCAAGTAATGACATTACTGCACTCAGGACATACCCATATGTGCTCCTTCTCTTCCTCAGTAGCCAGTACAACTTTGCTATAGTGAAGATGCCAGTTGCAACCTGATGACAGGTTGGCCTGTGTCTTTCCCTGCAGGTAGAAATTCATCCAGACCCTTTGCTCACTGCCAGCTGAATCATTCTCTTCAGAAATAGATGCTCTGTATCGTTACATTCACTTGACCCCAGAGAGCCATCAGCACATCTGCTTTTTCATAAAGTAGCTCACTGCCTAGAGGCACGGCAGCAGCTAATCTATCAACCTTCTCAATACCATGCACACCTGAATATCCTGGGCAAAAAAATGCATAATATGCCGGTTATCTATGTCTTAACAAGCACTAAATTGTATGAAAGCAGTATGTTAATTGCTAGAACAATTTGTGTACTTTGTATTATAGCATTCAGTGATGTTTCCTGGTCAGTCTCCCCGTATTCACACACTACACAAGGTGACTCTGCATTGGCACATGCTGTATCTGAAGGTTTCTCTTGTCAGCCTCCCCGTATTCACACACTACACAAGGTGACTGCACTGACACATGCTGTATCTGAAGGTTTCTCTTGTCAGCCTCCCTGTATTCACACACTACACAAGGTGACTCTGCATTGGCACATGCTGAATCTGAAGGTTTCTCTTGTCAGCCTCCCTGTATTCACACACTACACAAGGTGACTCTGCACTGACACATGCTGTATCTGAAGGTTTCTCTTGTCATTCTCCCTGTATTCACACACTACACAAGGTGACTCTGCACTGACACATGCTGTATCTGCCCTAACGCATGCTGTATCTGCCCTAGCACATGCTGTATCTGCCCTAGCACATGCTGTATCTGCCCTAGCACATGCTGTATCTGAAGGTTTCTCTTGATTTCCAGGTTTTGGTCACATGACCAGGGAGCTCATGTCTCTGGCCAATGGAAAAATTGTTCTTGCCTTAGAAGGGGGCTATGACATCACCAGTATCTGTGACTGTGTGGAGCTGTCGGTGCGAGCCCTGCTAGGGGAGGATGTGAGTTGCCAGTTTTGATCAGAATATCATTGGTTGTTTTTTGTCCTTGTATGCAGTTATCCTTGTTCTTCTTCTCCTTTATTGTCCTTCTCTTTGTGTGTGTGTGTGTGCTTTTTCTGCCAATTTTTATATTTCTCATATCTGTTGGTGTCAGATGTGATTTCATCAGTTTATCTTGTATATGTTATTACTATACTTACAATTTAATTCGATTTCATCTCTTAAGAAGCTACAACAATTTTAATCACGATACACTCCTACTGGTCCTGCCCAATTCACCTCTTGGCCATGTTTATCAACTTCCTGACCCAGATGACACTCTTGAATATTGGCTGAAGACCTTCTTTTGTGTATTTGATAAACATGTGCCAATTAAGGAGGTCCGCGTCAAACATCAGACTAAATCCCCATGGATCACCCAGGAAGTAGTTGAAGTTATGAGACAGGGCACATAAAAATAAAAACATAATCAGATACTGGGGTCTGAGAAGCGAAGTCTGGTATGCCATTCCTAAGGAGAAGAAGAACTTTAAAAAAAAATGTTAATAGTAGATAAAACAAACACCAAAGATATATGGAAGGAAATTGTTACATTGACAAAAAAAAGTATTTCAACGTCTCTACTGACATCTAACATAACATCAGATGATTTCAGTAATTTATTTGAAGCTGATATAGAACAGTTAAAAGCCACAATACCAAATTGTCCTTGTGATTTATCCCTGCTTTCATCATTTTGCGAAAATAAATGCTCCGAAGATATTCCTTCTGACATACCTCTCATGTCAGTTGCTGATGTGTTTACACATCTCAACAGCCTCAGAAACAGCAGTGGGTCCGGTTTAGCTTAAATCAGCAATAGGATCTTATAGACGTATACAAAACAAGTTTGGCGTGCTCCCCGGCTCAGCTGTGAAACTGTCTTCCACAACAGATCAAAAATACCACTAGTCTTTATACATACAATCGAAAACTGTTCGACCGTTATCTGAGCACATATTAAATGCCCCCTAAGAAGAGAAAAAGAAAAATATTTTTGAAATAGCGCCCATTTTGCCTAGATTTATTACAACCACTACAGTTTATTGTGGTTAGAAATGTAGACATTCCAGTGCTTGTACTGAATATTTTGATGCCATTGATAATGTTTATTACTTGATGTTTGAATGAAATGATGTAAGAATAGAGGGAGACATCAAAGGGCAGAGTGTTAGACGGGAGTGCGTGCCCAATTCATAACCCTTTAAAAATTAAAGTTTGTTAGTTCATTGGTTCATTGATCTGATCACTCCTTCAGCCCTTTCCAGACATCTCATTTCCATGGTTACCCTTCCATGGTTATCCTTCCATGGTTACCCTTCCATGGTTATCCTTTGTTCAGATATGCTTATGTTGGGCCAGCCATATTTATAATTCACATGTTGATATGATTAATTAGTGTGTACCTAGCCAGGATTTTACATCCATGAAATCCTTAAATCCAATGATAAAATGTGCAGTCATTGTGGCTTCACACAATCCTTGGATCCAATGATAAAATGTGCAGTCATTGTGGCTTCACACAATCCTTGGATCCAATGATAAAATGTGCAGTCATTGTGACTTCACAGTCTTGGATCCAATGATAAAATGTGCAGTCATTGTGACTTCACACAATCCTTGGATCCAATGATAAAATGTGCAGTTATTGTGACTTCACACAGTCCTTGGATCCAATGATAAAATGTGCAGTCATTGTGACTTCACACAATCTTTGGATCCAATGATAAAATGTGCAGTCATTGTGACTTCACACAACCCTTGGATCCAATGATAAAATGTACAGTCATTGTGACTTCACACAATCCTTGGATCCAATGATAAAATGTGCAGTCATGGTAACTTCACACAATCCTTGGATCCAATGATAAAATGTACAGTCATTGTGACTTTACACAATCCTTGGATCCAATGATAAAATGTGCAGTCATTGTGACTTCACACAATCCTTGGATCCAATGATAAAATGTGCAGTCATTGTGACTTCAAACAGTCCTTGGATCCAATGATAAAATGTGCAGTCATTGTGACTTCACACAACCCTTGGATCCAATGATAAAATGTGCAGTCATTGTGGCTTCACACAATCCTTGGATCCAATTATAAAATGTACAGTCATTGTGACTTCACAATCCTTGGATCCAATGATAAAATGTGCAGTCATTGTGACTTCACACAATCCTTGGATCCAATGATAAAATGTACAGTCATTGTGACTTCACACAATCCTTGGATCCAATGATAAAATGTACAGTCATTGTGACTTCACAGTCTTGGATCCAATGATAAAATGTGCTGTCATTGTGACTTCACACAATCCTTGGATCCAATGATAAAATGTGCAGTCATTGTGACTTGACACAATCCTTGACTGTTTGTACTGATGCTATAATGTTTATACTTTGATTGTACTAAAATACTATTTAAACAGTCCCAAGCTTCCATTTTGAGTTTTATATTCTTTATCAGCTGCCACCGATCAGAGAGCAGGAGTTGAACCGGCCCCCCTGTCAGCCAGCCATTGACACCCTCAACGCAGCCATACAAATACAAGGTCAGCTGAATTTTATCTACCAGATCATTGATATTCTGTGTTTCAGCACAAATTATGCGTGAGGGTTACATAGAGTCATGTTAGCACATAAAATCAACACACATTGGTTGAATTATATCTGAGCACATACAAATCAGTGTCGGTTAAATTATGTCTTTGCTGTCAGCAATGTCTTTGAAGTAAACGACAACAGGACAGACTTAAATTTGGAGAATTACAAGATACTTGGTCACATGGTGTGGCATGACATCAATGACTGAAGGGGAATCATGACATCAATGACTGAAGGGGAATCATGACATCAATGACTGAAGGAGAATCATGACATCAATGACTGGAGGAGAATCATGACATCAATGACTGAAGGGGAATCATGACATCAGTGACTGAAGGGGAATCATGACATCAATGACTGAAGGAGAATCATGACATCAATGACTGGAGGGGAATCATGACATCAATGACTGAAGGGGAATCATGACATCAATGACTGAAGGAGAATCATGACATCAATGACTGAAGGAGAATCATGACATCAATGACTGAAGGAGAATCATGACATCAATGACTGAAGGAGAATCATGACATCAATGACTGGAGGGGAATCATGACATCAATGACTGGAGGGGAATCATGACATCAATGACTGAAGGAGAATCATGACATCAATGACTGAAGGGGAATCATGACATCAATGACTGAAGGGGAATCATGACATCAATGACTGAAGGGGAATCATGACATCAATGACTGAAGGGAAATTGTGAAGCAAAAGAATTAGAGGGTGTCATCAGACATCACCAGGGTGCGGTCAGGATTTTTTTTTTTTAAGTTGTTCATACAGTCATTTTATCTTTATCTCATTATTTTATTTTATTGTTTAAACTCTACCAACTTTGCCCAGAAACTGGATATGCAGCAGAATTGGTTATATTTCACATAAACAAAAAAAGAGGAGGTTCTGAAGATAGTGGGAGTGAGCAGGGAGTTGTTGACAGAAACATAAAAGACACACATGAAAAATGTTGACCAAATTAACAAAGATGACATAAAAGGCATACTAAAGTGAGAATCTGAATGTGAGCAAGAGGTATACAACAATACAGGAGGGAAGAAGATATCAAGAGATGGATCTAGCAGCAGCAGTACAGCGCAGACCTGATAGGGAAAACTCAATGGGGACCAAAGAAATTGTTCTCTTATCATAAGTTGGTCTCTGCTGTAATGTTTTAACAAGAAGCTGTCTCTTTTTATGGCAAGAATACCTCAATCTCATCCTATATACCAAATTTAGTGAAATGAAGTTTTTACATTCAGTAATTTTTTTCCTCAGAACTGTTTTTTTTTCTGTCTTGACATTCCTTGACTATTTTAGCTCTTTATAGCCACACTTTAAAAGCTTCACATTTAACCTTACATTGTTCATGTTTCTGCACCATTTGTTGGTTTTTAGATTTGTTAGTTGATGTTAGTTGGTTGGGGTTCTTTCTTCTCATGAAGTGGCTGTAGAAAATGAACAGTGCCTTCTGGTTGTTGTAGTGATATATCTAGGAATTCACTAGCTGACTGTCATTTCTCTTGTCCCAGCGGAACACTGGCCCTGTGTGAAGAAGTACGCTGGAACCACACATCACTCACTCCTGGATTTCCAGAAAGTGGACATGGAGGAGGCCGACACTATCTCAGCCCTAGCTTCTCTGTCCATGGTGGCGGGCAAACAAAGGTCAGACATTATGTGCCTGTTTGGCTGCGGATAATAGTAGATGTGAGAAGTGTTTGCCAGCTTGGTTGATAGATAATAGTAGATGTGAGAAGTGTTTGCCAGCTTGGCTGATAGATAATAGTAGATGTGAGAAGTGTTTGCCAGCTTGGTTGATAGATAATAGTAGATGTGAGAAGTGTGTGCCAGCTTGGCTGATAGATAATAGTAGATGTGAGAAGTGTGTGCCAGCTTGGTTGATAGATAATAGTAGATGTGAGAAGTGTGTGCCAGCTTGGTTGATAGATAATAGCAGATGTGAGAAGTGTGTGCTAGCTTGGTTGATAGATAATAGCAGATGTGAGAAGTGTGTGCTAGCTTGGTTGATAGATAATAGCAGATGTGAGAAGTGTTTGCCAGCTTGGCTGATAGATACAAGTAGAAGTGAGAAGTGTTTGCCAGCTTGGCTGATAGATACAAGTAGAAGTGAGAAGTGTTTGCCAACTTGGCTGATAGATACAAGTAGATGTGAGAAGTGTTTGCCAGCTTGGCTGATAGATACAAGTAGAAGTGAGAAGTGTTTGCCAGCTTGGCTGATAGGTACAAGGAGAAGTGAGAAGTGTTTGCCAGCCTGGCTGATAGATAATAGTAGAAAGTGAGAAGTGTTTGCCAGCTTGGCTGATGAATAAATATAAATATTGGAATGTGCCAGCTTGCCTGCTAGATAATAGCTCAATTGCTGTCAACAAAATGACTAGCTGCCTAATGAGACTATTGCTAAAAGCACAAACTTCCTAGCTCCAGTGATTGCTGGACATTTGCATAACAATTGCATTTGGTAATCCAGTGACTCAGTCTGTGAAAAGAGCTGAACCACTTCACCACATAGAACACCCCCCCCCCTCCCCCCTCAATAGATATGATAACTAAACAGAAGGCAATGTTGATGCTTGTTCTCTAGTGTTGATAATTTCTCTGATTTCAGGACCCCCATGGAACAGCAGTCAGAACCAATGGAGGAAGGGACATAAGCAAGCATAACTGATAGTCCCAAGTTGCGGCCCTTGTTGCCTTAGTAACTAGCACAAACCTTGCTGGCTTTGTTGTCGTTACCTTCGTTGTTGTCCATTGTCATCATTTGTTGTTGTCAGTGATTGTTGTGATCATCATGTGATAGTTGCTGACTGCCTCACCCCCCCCCCCCCCCCCCTCGCCCCCTACTTCACTTCACATACCATGTTGGCATCATAGATTCACAACCAAATGAAGTATTCTAGTTATTTTTAAAAGTAAAATAACACCAGAGATCTAAAATAACGTAAATTGTCAGGGGTGAGGACTAGTGAATGTTCCTGGATCAACACTCTGATGTTTGCCCGGACGCGCCCCAATTTGTCAAGAGTTGCTTTTTCTCTTGTTTTGGGTCAACATGAATTGATGCAAGGAATCACAAATACTCAACTTGAGAAAAGTAGCGGCCTAAAAGTTCTGTTTTCTGGTGAACACTTGAAAGCAAAATTACCATACAGTTGAAAACAGAACTTTCATAATTCAAAATGAGAACTGTCTTCAAATAGTCCTGACTAGCCTACCATCTTTACGTAGTCAGACTTGCGTACAGATTAATATGAAGTACGATGTTGGCCTTGACAGAGTGGAATAGCATACTGTACTTATATTGCAACAGTTACTGTTTTACAAACAGTTACATGTAGATTTACGATCTGACGGAGAGACACATTTCGTGTGCCCTTAGATCAGTTTGTGATGTGATATTTTGAAGAGCGTGACAAGCCCACAAATAAAGCTGTGACAAACTTCAGCAAAGATGACCAAAATTTGTGGTGTCTGTGACGCTTGAACTGATTGCGTTGTTTTTTGCTGTGACATTCATTGACTTTTGATTCCTGTGTTGCCTCGCTGGAAGCCTCTGTGATGTTTCTCCCAAAACTCTGGAATATTGATCACTGGGATACATCCCAGACAGCACAATAAAGTAGCTCCTGTACTTAATTGAAATGATTTCAGCGTGGTGATCATGTCTCTGGTATAGATGGACTGATTGTTTCATCATTTTCTCATTGTTTATACAGACACTTCATTGCATTGTTTATACTAACATCTTGTATCATTCTCATTGTTTATACTCTCATCTCATTCACATTGTTCATTCTCTCATCTTATTGTATTCTCATTGTTTGTGCTGTCATAGCATCACATTTACATTGTACTCTTATTTTCATCTCATTGTTTATACTGTCATCTCATCTCATCTTCATTGTTTATATTCTAATAGCATCACATTCACATTGTTTAAACTCTCAGATATCTGATTCACGTCTTTACAGTGTTCATAGTCTTACTCTCATCTCATCACAGTGTTATTTGTCTTACTCATGAGTGTTTGTTGTCTTACTTTTTACTCATCACTGCTCATTATCTTACTCTCATCTGTGTGAATGTGCAGATAGCACACAAGTCTACACATGTATAAAATATGAAGTCTGCAATACCAGGGTAGTTGTGCCGACTCCATTGTGCTGGTGTCTGTGTCATGTACATTTTGAAATATTTCTTGGTGCCACCTTGTTTTATTGTACTCCTCATAAATAAACTGATTGCTTTACTCACTGGTTATGTCATTATGTATGGCCCTACTCTGTTTGCCATCAACTACACAGCAAACACACTTGACTTGAATAGATATGTATTATCCCGTCAAAAGACTATATGTACAATATTTTGTGATAATGAAACACCGTATTGCTGATAGATAACATGCAGATACACAGTAGCATGCCATACATATTGTCAGAAATTACTTGGGGGGGGGGGGGGGGGGGATTTACATGAGACGAATCCCTTAGCTGCAAACTCCAGTTGTCGGCACCTTTACGTCTTTCCAGACAAGGTATTTTATTGATCTGTGAGGAGACATGGGATCAAAGCCCATGGGACTCGCAGCCCAGTGGACTCGCTCACAGCACAGGGGACTCACTCACAGCCCAGGGGACTCGCTCACAGCCCAGGGGACTCACTCACAGCACAGTGGACTCGCTCACAGCCCAGGGGACTCAGTCACAGCCCAGGGGACTGACTCACAGCCCAGGGGACTCACAGCCCAGTGGACTCGCTCACAGCACAGGGGACTCACTCACAGCCCAGTGGACTCGCTCACAGCACAGGGGACTCACTCACAGCCCAGTGGACTCGCTCACAGCACAGGGGACTCACTCACAGCCCAGGGGACTGACTCACAGCCCAGGGGACTCACAGCCCAGGGGACTCACTCACAGCCCAGGGGACTCACTCACAGCCCATGGGACTCGCAGCCCATGGTAGTAGCAAGTATAAACTAGTAAACTCCAGCTAGTCATAAATTAATCTACAAAGGTTAGATGCAGAACATTTTATTTTTAACCTTTAGATGGAAATTGTGTGATTGAAAAGAGAATAATTGAACAAGATAATAATTTGTGGTGGGGGGAGGGGAGTTGTTTAATAGTTTGCCTCTAGGGAAACCTCTCACCAAGCTTGAGTAGGTCTTTTGCCTTCAGTGACACGACCTTTGACTGCATTCACAAAGCACATGCAAGTTTGGTTTTTATAAAAGCATTTGACAGAGTGACTACTCTTTGATTTGTCCATGTTCTACAGTTTGAAATGCAGACACTTTAACTGGATCTGTTGTATTGTATAGTCTATGGGTCATACTGGCTCAAAGAATTTGTAACATCCATTTGTAGCTCATGCCGACATAGCTTTACGTAGATATGGTTTCACTGAGGCATAGCTTCACACAGATTGACAATCACAGCTTCATATAGATCATATGTAGCTTCACCAAGCTCACAGATATGGCTTCATGTGAGCATGTGTTATTAAGACAGACATTTGGACGTAAATTCATTCAAACATCTTCACCCAGACATGAGACAAATTCACAGAAACATCTTCACACAGACATCAGAGACATTCACGGAAACATCTTCACACAGACATCAGAGACATTCACGGAAACATCTTTACACAGACATCAGAGACATTCACGGAAACATCTTCACACAGACATCAGAGACATTCACGGAAACATCTTCACACAGACATCAGAGACATTCACGGAAACATCTTCACACAGACATCAGAGACATTCACGGAAACATCTTCACACAGACATCAGAGACATTCACAGAAACATCTTCACACAGACATCAGAGACATTCACGGAAACATCTTCACACAGACATCAAAGAGATTCACGGAAACATCTTCATACAGACCTGACATTTGTTTAAGATCACCTGAGCCCTACAGCTGGTTTGTAGCAGGTGTTAACATTTGATATGAATTTTATTTTCTCTGTCAACATTTATCTGATATTCTGTTGCTTGTTTTAGGACACATGATTTGTGTATCTGGTTTGTAGACAATTAATGTCTGTACCTGTCATCCCATGCCATGCTTATGTCTTGTTTGCCAACAGATTTGATATTTAAAGCTTCTTTGTGAAAAACAAAACTGATATTTGTATTGTTTATAGCACATTATAAATTTTTGCATTTGTATCATGTTTGAATTAAGGTAAGAATATTTTGTATCTGTATCATGTTTGCATTTTGTGTCTAAGATATTGTGTGTATATATTATATAAATATAAATATATCTATCTTTAAATAACTATCATTGCTAATGAAATGGCTGTGTGCTCATGTGCTTTTTGTGGAGGTGTTGATTTGTGATGTTTTGTTGTGATGTGTTGAGTTTCTTTAATTTATAAAGATGTCAAGTCCATGATGTTTCATAAAAGTGTCATAGCAGTGTTATGTACTTTGTCCATATTTTGTAGCATTGTCGAGTTTGTGATGTATTTGAGAGGTATCAATTTCATATTTTTAAATGTGTCAAAGTTTTTTTTTTCTGTAAAGATGTTTAGTTTATGTTTTGTTAAGGTGTTCGGTTCATCGTGTTTTGTAGACATGTTTAGTCATTGGTGTTTTTGTAAAGATGTTGAGTCCTTGTTGTTTTGTAATAGTGTTGCGTCCTTGTTATTTTGTAATGTTGTCGAGTCCTTGTTGTTTTGTAATGTTATTGAGTCCTTGTTGTTTTGTAAAGATGTTGAGTCCTTGTTGTTTTGTTATGTTATTGAGTCCGTGTTGTTTTGTAAAGATGTTGAGTCCTTGTTGTTTTGTACTGTTGTTGAGTCCTTGTTGTTTTGTAAAGATGTTGAGTCCTTGTTGTTTTGTAACTTTGTCCAGTCCTTGTTGTTTTGTAATAGTGTTGAGTCCATATCTTGTAACTGTATCAAATTCACAATGTTTTGTGAAGGTGGTGTCTGCATTTTGTATCAGTGTCAAGTTAATTTGTTTTGTAACGTTTTTGAGTCCCTGATGTCCGTATAAAGCTGTCGAGCTTGTGATGTTTTGTTAAGGTTTCAAGTTCATCATGTTTTGTGAAAGTGTCAAGTTTGTGATGTTTTGTTAAGGTTTCAAGTTCATCATGTTTTGTGAAGGTGTCAAGTTTGTGATGTTTTGTTAAGGTTTCAAGTTCATCATGTTTTGTGAAAGTGTCAAGTTTGTAATGTTTTGTTAAGGTTTCAAGTTCATCATGTTTTGTGAAGGTGTCAAGTTTGTGATGTTTTGTTAAGGTTTTAAGTTCATCATGTTTTAGGAAGGTGTCAAGTTTGTGATGTTTTGTTAGTGTTTCAAGTCTGTCATGTTTTGTGAAGGTGTCAAGTTTGTGATGTTTTGTTAGAGTTTTAAGTTCGTCATGTTTTGTGAAGGTTTCAAGTTTGCGATGTTTTGTTAAGGTTTTAAGTTCATCATGTTTTGTAAAGGTGCCAAGTCCGTGCTGTTGTGTTAAGGTTTCAAGTTCATCATGTTGTGTGAAGGTGTCAATTCCGTGATGTGTATAGGTCCAGGCTTTACATGATGTGCCTTGTGATATTAGCATAAGGAGAAGACAACCTATGCTGCATGGTGAGCCCTCAGGGGAAGGTTGCTGTGATGGGTTACAATGTGTGCTGCTGCTGGTG